ATATATATATATATATATATATATATATATATATATGTTCCATACCAAAATTGATGGGGTTCACACTTCATGTGTGTGATTTGTTTCATATTTTTGGGGTAGCTCGACGAACATAAATAATAAATAAATATGAAATTTGAGCTTGATTAATACATTTTTTTTTTAACTTTACATTACAAAAACAAAAACAAATCGATTTAATAGTTTTCCAAATATCTCAAGAACGGGGCGAGGAACAAATTTGAAAAAAAAAACAAACTCAGCCACACACATCAAAATTCTCTATGAAAATAAATATTTTTAAAACTTTTTTTTCTGGAAAAATTTTTCACATACACATTGTTTGATAAATAAAATTAGTTTTTAAAAATATGCCATCTCAAAAAAATTTAAAATAATCACAATGGTAACCCTGAATATTGCGCAATTTTTAAGTATAGTATTATAGGGTGTACTCTAAAATAATTTGAGTTATAATTTTTTTACACCGAAGTTGAGTAAAATGAGTACATTACAAATTTACAAATTTTTAAACTTTTTTTGAATTTTTTTGGGAATGATTTTGAGATAAATTTTAGTATAGTAAAGTGCAAGTACACCCAAACTCACCACACATAATTTCATCATACCTCGACTCACCAAAAATGAACTCATAACACCCATTCACACCATACTTTATCTAAACTCACCAAACCTCAACTCATCTCACCTTAATTTGGGAACTATTTCGAGATTTTAAAGATCTTCGAGAGACTCGGGACTGAATCAGGATTTTTGTGACTAGTTTGGGATTTTAAAAACTATTTCGAGATTTTCGCGACTATCTCGAAATTTTCGTTATATTTATCGGTCTTCTTATAGATATTTTGATCGATAAATTTATCAATTTTGAAATTAATGTATCTATCGATAAAAATACCAACATTGCTATCGATAATTCTACCGACATAATAATCGATATCCTTAACGATATATTTATTGATATGATAATCGAATTTGTAATTGCTATATTATTCGACAAATTTTTCGATAGTTTTATCGTCATAAGTAATGAAAATAGATTCGTGCTTACACTATACGTTAGTTCTTGGCCGAGCTGCGGCCTCTCATAGATATTAAAGTCAATAAATTTATTAATATTGTTATCGGTATAATTAGCGATATTTTTATCGATATTTGTATCGATAAATTTATGTTTGATGTTATCGATAATTCTGTCGATATAAAATATATCATGTTATAAATACATTTATCTTTATCGATTTTTCAATCGTTATGTCTATCGGTATTATTATCAGCATAGTTATCGACAATAATATCGGTATATTTATCAACATATTTATCGATACAGTTATCTATCCACTTAAAGAGGGTTACAGGGAAACGATATATATGGGCAATTCCACCGCCACGGGTGGGACATTTGTACAGAAAAAATATTATTTCTTATTTAAATTAAAGTATAAAGTACTCAACAATTCTACATTTTGATAAAGCTACACCTAATTGGCTATTATATGAGTAATTACAAAAAACTACAACAAAAATTAGTAGGTAGTAGTAATTAAGTAGGGGTCCAATTCACTGACATTTTATAGTGCCTTGTAACGGGTGATTTTTTT